CAAAAGGTGATTTGAACAGCCCACCATATGATGATAGTGGACTATCCAGCTAACAGTTATAGGGTTTTGTATTATTATCATACCTACTTTTCCATACTGTCCTATAAATGAGAACCCTTTCACTAATGTTTTAGAAATCTTGACAGCAACTGTTGTCACATTAAATCACAATAAAAAGTTGATGAAATTCTAATATTTACATTTGCATGGCATTGTCACTATATAGCTTCTTTGAAAGCTGTGTCGTTTAATTACCATGCATCACGAGACACAATTCTTAGCGTATTAATACAACACTGACCGGAACTACAATATCCAATATAAATAAACATGACGGCTGCTGAAATATCGCTGGGCATTGTGAGATTTGACAATGTCATTGTAAATTTATGTGAAAAATAAGAAATAACGAAAACAAGACCAAGGTCTGCAGTATCGTACAAAATGCACATCGGTTGAAATCACCAATGCTGGCAATGGAAACAATTTTAGCGCTCATGCAATTTATCAGAAATATTGTCTGTTACACTGCACTGATCAACAGGGGTTCGTTACAAATGTCTGAAATATACATATTCTATAGACCTACTGACACATATGTTACAGACCTACTGATATGAGTCACAGCACACATAAACATTTCAGACATGTGTAACGAACCTGTGCTCCGTCGCAAGATCACTCACTTCAAACGCTATCAGTTTCACGCCTCTCGCATTCATGGTTCCTCAGTTTCTGACGACATGTCAAATAGTGACGCTGTTATAGAATCTACCGACTGTTGTCAGGTTCCCATACAATCAACAAATAAATTCACGCCTGGATTCTTCACAAAATGAGCAAAGAGAAAAGTTTGAATTAACATCCAAAAATAACTCCCTCGTGGAGGGCAAGGTCGGATTTCACGGTGTTCACTGTATTTTTGTCCATACGCAAAATTTGTTCCGGGAAAAATCGAAATAATTTCAAATCTTACTTTCAGCTCAGAGTTCTATTGATAAACTTAAATCACCCTATAGACATATCATATGCAATTGTATTGATACTGAATTGTGAAATAAAATTGAAGTGTTTGTTAAAATTTCAAAGTACGACTTTGTTTGCCAATCAGCATGCGACAATACGCTATTCAAACTATTGAACGTAATTGTGTGGACTGTCGATAAGGCCGGCATTTTTAATTTTAAATATAAATTATAAGTTAAAAAAGAACATAAGCGCCAGAGAAAACGTAAATATAAGTATTGAACATTATGTTGTTTGCTTGCAAAGCTGTGTCATTCAAATAGATCATAAATACAATACAAAAACAGTTCAATGCTTAAATAAACTCTCTGAAATTCATTATGTTACATCATGAGGACCTATATATATATATTATACAGTAAACATCGTGTTTGTAGACGTGCATCATCCCTATAATAATCATCTGATGTAACCGATGTCTGCATGCCTGTTTGTATGTTAACAGCCAATCAACATAAAAAGGTCATTAGGGTCAATACACCACCAAACCAATAAGACCATTGTAATTGACTTATATACTTGTCATTGTACTTGGTTGACCAGACATCAATAATGTGATGTAGCAATGTGTGATGAGTGGGATCAGATAGAACAGATTCCGGGTCGTATGTACAGTAATCTTACCTCTAGCTAGCTATCTTATTTGTTGTTCAAAGCACTCTGAGTACCCTCTCACCAACTTCCACCAGATCAACAACCAAGGTTTTTCAACGATAGATGTGTGTTTCACTGCAGGATGTGGACTTTTGTTATGTAAACTGCATTTATATGTACATCAAACGAATTTAAATATTTCTTAAATATTATAAGAGCTTATCATTTCTAATATTTAAGATTTGGCTAAGGATGTAATGTTGAACAATAAGAATATTTCCTACCTCAGGTGTTCAAAGCTACCGGTAGTTAAATTAATTCTGAAAATTGTATACTGGTATATACATTGTGCAGTATATCTATATATAGGTCCAGTAGTTTAAATAACTAGTTCATATCTTAGAAATGAGAACCCAAGGGTCAAAACTTTCAACAAAGTTGTCCATTTGTCCATTTTCCCAGTTTATAACTTCCCGCATGACCTAAATTAAGAGACAGGTAAATGGGAAGCAAGCAATCTGTGATGCATCAGCCTGCCCATCACAAAACAGAAAATATAACCCTCCACAACACTTCAATTGTACAGCACCCTCCATAACACTTCAATTGTACAGCGAATTGAGCAATCAACCTATCAAAACCAAAATGTATTGTGTGTGTCGCATCATCCCAGAGATCTAGCTAATTGTGAATGGCCACAGATACGGTTCGTTCACAGTAAGATGGTGTTTTGAGGTCTGACACACAGTCCCGTATTTTGTACTGACAAGACAAGCAACAAAATCTAGCTTAGTATGTGTGTAACCAAACTTCTCCTCTCAACATCAGAATCAACAGACACTTAGGCTCTGTAAACCAAGAGAGGCCAGACCTTCTGATAGTCAAATACATCCATATACCAAACCACTACCTGAAAGACATGCAGGTTATATGGTCACTGTGACACAACTGTATGTGTGATCACACAATGAGACTAGTCAAAGAGAAATCCTGGACTAAACGTGCACAACTACCAGGCCAGCTACAAATTAAATTTACCTGTCGTACCCGCAAAATTTAGGTAAATAGGATATGCTGTCATCAAAGACACTGTAGCCTATTAACTATACCCATGCATAATAAATATTATTAATCGAAAATAATGTACTGATGAACATTTAGTTTATTGCAAGGTACTTTTGCTCTTCACTAGTATAATCAGCTCTTCAGAGAGGTAATACTAAGTACAGAAAACTATTTACAAATATTAGAAGCTGGCTTCAGGTGTAAAAGTTTTACTGGGGAAAACCTTTCTCTGTGTGCATTATTATTATGTGAGTGTGCAGTATGATTAGTAGATAAGAAATTCAAAAAGACAAATGATCGAAGGACGGAAACATTTCAACCCAAGTGAGATTATAAATTCACCACAATAAGGGAAAAAGGGGAATTTCTGGACAGACTGCTGACCAAGCTGTCTACCATACATGGACAGAGGATATCGGTTATCTCATTATCAACATCTCCACTATCTTACGACACTGGCACTGATTGGGACATACAGATGTATCTACATTTAATCTAACAGTGGAGACCTTTTGTGTGAGTCAGAGATAATACAAATCTAATGGAGCTGATAGCTACTGAGCTTGATACACCTGTATGCCAGGTACAGTCTACAGTTAGATTTTTTAAAAGTACTTTTCACATAGTAGGGGAAATTACAGAGAATGCAAACATTCAATACACTACTACCCAATGGTTTCCTTTTACAACAGCAATAGGTTGAGGTTCTTTTGTATAGTTTCCAACATGATAAAAACAAAGCTAGTACAGGTGATTTAATGAGTCTTTCACATGTTCTACAAAACATCCTGATAATCAACATTTTTCTCTTGATGCAGAATGGCATCTTATTAAATCTGAAGGTAAAGCAAATCTCTGATGCCTTAATTATCACTATGACACATATAGTCATCTGACAATAAACAGTTAATTCTGATTTTCTTTTGTCACAGAAAATGTGTACGGTACAGTTAAATTAATACTGTACTGAAATCGAGGTCTCTTCATCTGATAGATTTGCTATTTAAGATCAGCAAGACAACAGATAAATTAATGGAATGATATTAACACAGCACTGTACCAATTTAAATAGATAACTTCAATTTGAGAAATGTTGTTTTAATGTTATAGAAATTTCTATGTTGCAGGTGAATAAATAATGTTCAGCAGCATGATCACTAAAGCATCTACATGAACAGAATTAGCAGGGAGGAAATTTATGTGTATGTATATATATTCTGTTTTTAATCTGCAAACTGTCCATGAATTATCACATTCCATGCAACATAACGGTGTATTGTGTATCATATCCTGTATTGTGATTCAAGACTTCCAGCTGTATTGTAACATGTTACTCTTTAGGTGCATTTTTGGAACATTTACCTTCAAGATGGACCTCGCAATTGTACATGAAAGCAATTAATTGGACTTTAACTAGAAAACATCTAAGACACGAATACCCTCTTGGAAATGTACTGAACACATATGTTATACATTTTCATATCTGACCTTTGTATAAACTTTGATGAAAATCAGTTTAGAAAGGAAGTAGGTACGTAGAGTCCTGAGAATGAATGGTACCGAGATTGATAACATGGTATGTCCCCACTCTTCTAATGCATAAAATTATATTATTATATGTCTATGATCAACTTAAAAGAGTTAATAAGATAAAATTCCCAATTAAGTTACAGTTTTAAATCAGAAAGATCTCAGTACTAATTAAGTTGTAAGGAACTTCAAAAAAAATGGTTTGAGAAGATTTATATCTCCAGTTTATAATCTACAAACATATGTATACTGTTCAGTATCAAGTCAAATTTTGTATCTGATTTTATATTTTGTAAATCTTGTAACTAAGATTTCTATCTTGGTAGATTGGAACGGTTAAAATATGTAAAGTTGTGAAAGAGTTGTCTCCCCTATATCAATACAGGTAAAATATGATTGTGATATTATTGTGTATGTAATTAATATCTTTCTGTATTATGTAATTTGAACTAATGGCAGGATTAGATTGGAGACGTTTGGTAAATAAAATGACAGACTGAACAAACAAGAGGAAATGTATCATAATCATACTGATGTGTGATGTGACAACAAATGCAACTTTAATCTTATACAAGACATGTGACATCTCTCCCCCACCCACCGCAACACCCGTATACAGATTTTATGTATAGCACTTAAAACACCTGTATGATTTAATGTTATTAAAATCAGATCTTATTTCACTAGGTATGATACCCTACATGTTTTTTTCAGTACAGTATATTAAATTATCATATGATTTCATTCAGACTTTGTGTGTTTAGATTTGAAATTTATGTACTTACAAGATGTGTGAAATCTCTCCTCCATCACAGAGATGTTGGAATACCAGATTAATTGACAAATCCAGGGATGCTCTCTTCATCTGTGAATGTGAATAATGAGTCAATGTCATCCTTTTACCAGTTAAAATAATAAAGTTTTTATGAAAAGACTTACAAGAGATTTTCTGAAAATATATTTTTTAGTCCCTGAATCACTATTATATAGTTGTACTGATGTTAGTTTGAAAAAAGGCATAACTGCGAAGTAAACTTTTAGATTTATTACTTTATTCAAACAAGAGGCCAAACAATCAAATTGGCACAGAAACAAGCCAAACTTCATGACCTTAGGACTCTTGGTATAGTAGAAGTTGTTAAAAGAAAAAAGTTGATGCTTAATAGACATACGACAAATAAGCTTACAGACATGTTTTAGCTTTTGTGACTATGTAGTGCCAAATGCATGTGTTAGGTCAGCTGTCTGTGAATTAGGTCATCCCAAGATCTTATTCTTCAAGCATCTGGAGCTGAACCAATGTCTGTGTGTGAGATTATCTGAGCTTACCTGTTGGTAGTGGTGTGACGTCTCAGTCTCCACAGCAGCAGCCAATCTGCTGTACACATCCCATACCTGCTTGACTGAGAGGTTATAGAAAGAATCCTCCATCTTATAGAAAATATGGGGTCCACTTGTAGCTATTTAATTTCCGTAGTGACGCTGGCAGTAAATGATGCCAGGTAGAGCTCATGCAAGATGGCATCTCCACACCTGCATGTACTTAATTCCTAGATATGTACCAAGTGGTTTTAAGAGTCCAAGATCAGGAATATACCTGGAAAAAAAAGTTTAATAAGAACAATTAAAATACAAAGTACTACTTGTGCATTACAAGTTCAATCTTAGCTACAGTTGTGTAGGTTTTTAAAATGTCTGGTATAACAGGCAAGGTATAACCCTGGAGAGATCCTTGTTCTACATTTACACTCTGGGCAAGGAAGAATGGCAAATACATCATAAACAATATTTTTATTGTACCTGTGGATAACCCCCCAATATTGAGGAGACATACACATTGTTCACAATAATTTAATACAGCTATGCATGCTTTCTATGACAGGCAATATCCCTTATAGAAGGTACACGTACATGTGGTAGTATGTCAACGATCCAGGAACATGTATACTAGTTTAAACCGTACATTTTTAATTTACATGTCTATATAACATTAAGAAAAATAGACACACACATACAAAATTTTCAATAAAGTTCAAAGAAAAAAATGTCTATGTTGGAAAAATTTCATAACAGTATCGTAGAGCTCTCAACAGCAGTAATGACACATTTATGCCTGGTAAAGCATACATTATAACAATATTATGGATTCATATAAAACTAACGTCGTTATACCCCAAACTGATCAATCAAATACATTAAAATAGACAAATATTTCATTCATTTACCAAAAACTGCCTATTTCCTCTATAAAGTCACTAATATGAAACATCTATTTCAATCAGAGACGTATAATGCATTATACGCCTCTGTTTCAACCTACATCTTGTCTATACTTGATCATGACGGGACATTTGATTTGAACGGCTTCCATTACTAATCAGACTCATGTCAAAATGTGGAACGCTGCATAAGGTTATGGATGGTTGCGCTGTACCGTACTCCGAACTCGAACTTACTTTCAAATGAACATGCATCGTCGGTACACCGAAGATGACCCATAATTTCAATAGATTTTGCTTTTAAAACCAGCCGTGTTGTCAACGTAAGATTGATTTTATATAAGAGTGCACATTTTGTCAGTAGGCTAGAATCGCGAAGCACTCGATTCGAAGCACTGACTTTACCGGAAGTTATCCTCATGTTATATCGAATGTATATCAACCGGAAAGACAAAATATACCGTCAACAAACGAAAAGAGCCGGGCCCGTATTGAGGAAACCATTATCATGCTCAAACTCAGATACTGTGCTCAAGTCCAATTACTTTTCCGTCAATGAATAAATAATAAATCACATTTTGTCAATGCGTTGAAAGAAATTTTGAGAGTCTTAAAATCGAACAACATTTTCAAAGTATTCATTTTACCGTAACCACCTAGCTATAACGTTATATGTTACAAGGTAATTAGTTTGAGCACTGATTCATGAATACGGGCCATTTGAACTCTCTCTCTCTGTTTAGCTATGTAAGGCCTGCTGAAGTTACTGTAACATGTTTTAATGACAAACTGACTGTAATTAATTAGTTTTATAGTAAATTGTCTATTCGTATTTTTTCAAAACTAAATGTTCATTCAATATTCAATTTTACAAAACTTCATAATATGATAGAAAACATAATTGTTCATTTTACTAAAACATTAATTAATTGTCCTTTGCCGGATCATTGAATAATGTCATGAATAAGACTATATAATTAGATCTACATTTTGTAGGCCTACTGTTAGCCGTAATGTCTAATGTTATGCCTAATATTTTAACGTCAAAATGACTTCATTGAAATTATACTTCAATCACCTGTTTCACTGAAAGAAGGAAACGGGAATTGGTCCAGATATTTTCGATATGCGTGTTGATAATGGTGTTTTTGTGGAGGGGGAATTTCCCCATGATGCTTGGAGGCAACATATGATCGGTTGGCATGGGTTGTCATGCGAACCAAAAACCTCCTTCCATCTCCATTTTTGTCATATTTTTTTCTTCATTAAACCAACATGTTTTTGAGTTGTTTTTTGACGGAGGTATTAACATTAGCATTAACGTCTTACGATCAAGCTTGGCTACAAGCTTAAGTAGACCATGCAGTCAAGCTGCGTGTTTTTACGACGTTATCAACCTTATTTAACACTTTCAGGGGTGTACATTATCAAACTAATGGCGTGTTTTTACGACGTTATTAACCGTATGTAACACTTCTAGGGATGTACATTATCAAGCTAATGGCGTGTTTTAACGACGTTATCAACCGTATGTAACACTTCCAGGGGTGTACGTTATCAAACTAATGGCGTGTTTTTACGATGTTATCAACCGTATTTAACACTTCCAGGGGTGTACGTTATCAAACTAATGGCGTGTTTTAACGACGTTATCAACCGTATGTAACACTTCCAGGGGTGTACATTATCCAACTAATGGCGTGTTTTTACGATGTTATCAACCGGATTTAACACTTCTAGGGGTGTACGTTATAAAGCTAGTGGCGTGTTTTAACGCGTTATTAACCTTATTTAACACTTCCAGGGGTGTACGTTATCAAACTAATGGCGTGTTTTTACGATGTTAACAACCGTATTTAACACTTCTAGGGGTGTACGTATACGTTATAAAGCTAATGGCGTGTTTTTTCGATGTTATTATTCGTATGTAACACTTCCAGGGATGTACATTATCAAGCTAATGGCGTGTTTTTACGATGTTATCATTCGTATGTAACACTTCCAGGGATGTACATTATCAAGCTAATGGCGTGTTTTAACGATGTTATTAACCGTATGTAACACTTCCAGGGATGTACATTATCAAGCTAATGGCGTGTTTTAACGACATTATCAACCATATTTAACACTTCTAGGGATGTACATTATCAAACTAATGGCGTGTTTTAACGACGTTATTAACCGTATTCAACACTTCCAGGGGTGTAAATTATCAAGCTAATGGCGTGTTTTTACGATGTTATGAACCGTATTAAACACTTCCAGGAGTGTACGTTATCAAGCTAATGGCATGTTTTTACGACGTTATTAACCGTATTCAACACTTCCAGGGGTGTACATTATCAAGCTAATGGCGTGTTTTAACGACGTTATCAACCGTATGTAACACTTCCAGGGGTGTACACTATGAAACTAATGGCGTGTTTTTACGATGTTATCAACCGGATTTAACACTTCTAGGGGTGTACGTTATAAAGCTAGTGGCGTGTTTTAACGCGTTATTAACCTTATTTAACACTTCCAGGGGTGTACGTTATCAAACTAATGGCGTGTTTTTACGATGTTAACAACCGTATTTAACACTTCTAGGGGTGTACGTATACGTTATAAAGCTAGTGGCGTGTTTTTACGATGTTATCAACCGTATTTAACACTTCTAGGGGTGTACTTATACGTTATAAAGCTAATGGCGTGTTTTTACGATGTTATCAACCGTATGTAACACTTCTAGGGATGTACATTATCAAGCTAATGGCGTGTTTTTACGACGTTATTAACCGTATGTAACACTTCTAGGGATGTACATTATCAAGCTAATGGCGTGTTTTAACGATGTTATCAACCGTGTTGAAAACTTCCAGGGGTGTACATTATCAAGCTAATGGCGTGTTTTAACGACGTTATCAACCGTATGTAACACTTCCAGGGGTGTACGTTATCAAACTAATGGCGTGTTTTTACGATGTTATCAACCGTATTCAACACTTCCAGGGGTGAAAATTATCAAGCTAATGGCGTGTTTTAACGACGTTATTAACCGTATTCAACACTTCCAGGGGTGTACATTATCAAGCTAATGGCGTGGTTGGACGACGTAATCAACCGTATTCAACACTTCCAGGGGTGTACATTATCAAGCTAATGGCGTGTTTTAACGACGTTATTAACCTTATTTAACACTTTCAGGGGTGTACATTATCAAGCTAATGGCGTGTTTTGACGACGTAATCAACCGTATTCAACACTTCCAGGGATGTACATTATCAAGCTAATGGCGTGTTTTAACTACGTTATTAACCGTATGTAACACTTCCAGGGGTGTACATTATCCAACTAATGGCGTGTTTTAACGATGTTATCAACCTTATTCAACACTTCCAGGGGTGTACGTTATCAAACTAATGGCGTGTTTATACGATGTTATCAACCGTATTCAACACTTCCAGGGGTGTACATTATCAAGCTAAGGCATGTTTTTACGACGTTATCAACCGTATGTAACACTTCCAGGGGTGTACATTATGAAGCTAATGGCGTGTTTTTACGATGTTATCAACCGTATGTAATACTTCCAGGGGTGTACATTATCAAACTAATGGCGTGTTTTAACGATGTTATTGACCGTATGTAACACTTCCAGGAGTGTACTTTATCAAGCTAATGGCGTGTTTTTACGACGTTATTAACCTTATTTAACACTTTCAGGGGTGTACATTATCAAGCTAATTGCATGTTTTAACGACGTAATCAACCATATTTAACACTTCCAGGGATGTACATTATCAAGCTACTGGCGTGTTTTTACGATGTTATCAACCGTATGTAACACTTCTAGGGATGTACATTATCAAGCTAATGGCGTGTCTTTACGATGTTATCAACCGTATTTAACACTTCCAGGGATGTACGTTATCAAGCTAATGGCGTGTTTTTACGATGTTATCAACCGTATTCAACACTTCCAGGAGTGTACGTTATCAAGCTAATGGCGTGTTTTAACGACGTAATCAGCCGTATGTAACACTTCCAGGGGTGTACATTATGAAGCTAATGGCGTGTTTTTACGATGTTATCAACCGTATCCAACACTTCCAGGGGTGTACATTATCAAGCTAAGGCATGTTTTTACGACGTTATCAACCGTATGTAACACTTCCAGGGGTGTACATTAACCAACTAATGGCGTGTTTTAACGATGTTATCAACCGTATTTAACACTTCCAGGGATGTACGTTATCAAGCTAATGGCGTGTTTTTTACGACGTTATTAACCGTATGTAACACTTCCAGGAGTGTACGTTATCAAGCTAATGGCGTGTTTTAACGACGTTATCAACCGTATTTAACACTTCCAGGGGTGTACGTTATCAAACTAATGGCGTGTTTATACGATGTTATCAACCGTATTCAACACTTCCAGGAGTGTACGTTATCAAGCTAATGGCGTGTTTTTACGGCGTTATTGACCGTATGTAACACTTCCAGGAGTGTACTTTATCAAGCTAATGGCGTGTTTTTACGACGTTATTAACCTTATTTAACACTTTCAGGGGTGTACATTATCAAGCTAATGGCGTGTTTTAACGATGTTATCAACCGTATTTAACACTTCCAGGGATGTACGTTATCAAGCTAATGGCGTGTTTTTACGACGTTATTGACCGTATGTAACACTTCCAGGAGTGTACTTCATCAAGCTAAAGGCGTGTTTTAACGACTTTATTAACCTTATTTAACACTTTCAGGGGTGTACATTATCAAGCTAATGGAGTGTTTTAACGACGTAATCAACCATATTTAACACTTCCAGGGATGTACATTATAAAGCTAATGGCGTGTTTTACGACGTTATCAACCGTATGTAACACTTTCAAGGGTGTACATTATCAAACTAATGGCGTGTTTTTACGATGTTTTTAACCGTATGTAACACTTCCAGGGATGTACATTATCAAGCTAATGGCAAGTTTTTACGATGTTATCAACAGTATTAAACACTTCCAGGGGTGTACATTACCAAGCTAATGGCGTGTTTTACGACGTTATCAACCGTATGTAACACTTTCAAGGGGGTACATTATCAAACTCATGGCGTGTTTTTACGATGTCATCAACAGTATTAAACACTTCCAGGGGTGTACGTTATCAAACTAATGGCGTGATTTTACGATGTTATCAACAGTATTAAACACTTCCAGGGGTGTACATTACCAAGCTAATGGCGTGTTTTAACGACGTTATCAACCGTATGTAACACTTCCAGGAGTGTACGTTATGAAGCTAATGGCGTGTTTTTACGATGTTATCAACCGTATGTAATACTTCCAGGGGAGTACATTATCAAACTAATGGCGTGTGTTTACGATGTTATCAACAGTATAAAACACTTCTAGGGATGTAAATTA